GCAATATGTGCTGTTTGCGGTATGACAGTGGAAACACTAATTGTACAGAACAGCAACCCAGCTCAACTTTTCATTATGCTTACAAGCAGACTTACTGTACAGACAAGACATTGATTCACTTTTACAGAGACTCAGAAAGAGAGCTGTCTCACAGATGAATGGAAAACACAGGGACACCTCCCCAAAACGCTGGTTTGTAACATGCGGAGGGAGGAGAAAAGAAAAATAAAATAATAAAAAATCCTATTGCCAAAATCTACTGATTTAAAGGGAAATATACCTTTGAAAAATTAGTTTCGGTTTCCAAAGCTTAAAAAAAACCAGACCCCAGCTGTAAGGCCCCCTTACAGGAAGAGTTGTCAGCAACCACCAAGCCGCACTGCTTGGACAGGACTGATCCAGTAATGCAATACAGAGCTCCTGGCTGTGGGCATACACAGCAGTCAGAGACTTACCTGGGCTAGCCAGCTGAGAAAGAGCCTGCTCCAAAGCGTGCAGATGTCAGTGAGAGGCTCCACTGATTGCAGTGTTTTGCATTTGGAGGGAAGTGCTTTCTGGAGGGTGTTCAGTGACAAAAGCCCAGGCAAGTGTCCAGTGGGACCTGTCAAAGCGCCTAAGGGAGCTAGAGACTCAGCCTGGTAAGGCACCGCTGGAATTCCCGTAGCTGCTTCTGCTGCTTGAAATGCTTCATTTCCTAATGCCTAGGAGCAAGTCCCATGGGACTCAGCTTTGCAAGTCCTGGGAGCAACACTTGTATTAACTGTGGTGATCCTGACAAAACAGGTTACTGTTTGCCTTCAGTCATGTCTTTCTACCTCAAAAGAAAGACTGCAATGCACGTGGAAGTATTATCTCTTCACATGGACAAGCATTTTTTAGGAAATCATTAGCAGAAATCTTATTTCCCTGCTGGAAGCCCTTTGGGCAACAAATAATTCATTTTGCATACAGGCAAACAACATTAATGGCCAATTACATTCCCACTTCCTGCACTGATGCTTACATTAAAATTAATAATACTTATTATCTCCCTGCCAAATACAGGCATGACATAGCTCTTGCCAGCAGAGTTGTCTGACTAAAAACTCTGTATCTTTGCGTTGTGATAGATTTTTTGTTTCTTATTTTATTAAGCACAAAAAAGGTGTGTGGGAGAAATCACAAGGCAAAACTCACCAGCCAGAGCAGTCCTGCAACCCACAGTGATAAGGGTGTTTCTAAATTAAAAGAGAAAGGCGCATTGTACTACTATCACAGTGCTCAGTAGCTCTCTCTAGATCTTCGTTACATAGCAATGGGGTAAAAACATACCACATACTGTCAAGACCAGCCCTTGCTATGCAACTACCCTGAAGACTACGCTGGACTCTAGCAGGTGTGTTGACAGGGCCAAAAAGTTTGACAGGGCATGAACTGGACCATGACCTGGGGCTAACCGAATGGGGAAGGGGGCTGTGGAGTCAAGCCCTAAGTGTCTCTCTGACACGGAAAGATGAGTGGCTTTTCAGGACAGATTAGTTGATTTTCCTGTTTCCTACACGTGTTCTATTGCATCATTGTTATCATTGACTGGTATTTTTCACTGCCATGGGTAACTTCCAGGACGTGGACATCCTCCTCCACAAACACATTCTGAAGGAAAGCAATGAATCGTGGAGTGGGAGAAAGGCCGGTTTCCATTTAGTCTGCTCTACGAGGCCACGGCCCAAATATGCCAAGATCTCCTCCTAAGTCAGGGTGAGCCCAGATAAGTCATTCCAAGAGGAGTTTAGAGGATGTTTGTATTTTTACTGGGTTGGAAGTTAATTTTTCTGTCACTTGTTATAACAGCTTCATACCATTAATGTCAGTATAGATGCTTGTTAGCCATGGGCTCCAAACTTGACTTCCCCACAATTTGACATAGGAACCGCAGGCTCATGCCCGCATTTTCCTCTAAGTCTGCTAAACACCACCCTGGCAAACGCTGGAGAAATGAGTGTATGCCAGCCCTCCTCCTTCCCAGAACTTAATCCTTCTCCATCCATTGATATTACCTGACCAGGAGAAGCATGGCTTGCAGAAAGGCATTTCACTTTAAAATGTGTCTAATTTCACCATAACAAACTTTTACAAAAGAGACTCCTCATGACCTCCCCTAAACAGCAGGACCTCTGAACTACACGGCTGAGAAAGGATTTCCCAATTGCAACAGGGAAAGGGCAGCAAGCACTTCAGTGCTAGGCCCACAGACTTAGGACTATAGGACTTTGTAAGGAGAGATGACATCTGTCTTGACAGAAATAAAAGCACTACTGGAGCCACAGAGCTATCTTGTCCCACATACAGCTATTAAGAAACTTACTGTTCTCCTAGTCTAACCTTTCACAGCACACTGCAGCTATGTCCATAATGCATCACAAGCCATATTTAATGAAAGGCTACTTACCAAACTGAAAACAATTATGTTTCTGAGATGCCTCTAAAACCTGTCTTAAATGACACCAGCATAAGATGATAATAAACAAAAAGAAAAAAAAAAAAGAAATTCTGTGAGCAAACTTCACAAGAACTTAACTCTTCTAGTTGTACAGAAAGTTTAGCAGGTTTGGGATAGGACGCTGGCAGAGTTGAGATGCTGTTCCTGAACTGAGGCCACAATAGATCACATTGCTTCATTGAGAAATAGTGGAGAGTTTAGTAATTTCCAAATCTGCTCTTCAAGTTGGCTTAATTCTACTATCGTCAGAGATGATGAACAACATATTTATTTCAACTTCTGACTCACGGTAGGCTGGAGCTTATGCTAAGTTAAGGCATGGGTATAGAGGGTATGGCCAGCTGTTCCCACTGTAACACAGACCAGTTCTTTACTTGTTCATATGGAAGTTATCAGACCAGTATCTGGAGCGGGCACAAAACCGAGTAAGTCAGATCTCTGGATTCCCTGTTAATATGAAAACTACTGCACAGGGTATTACCCTTCCATCTAAGCAGTGCCAGGGATGGGTGCTGCAAATGGTCACATATGCCTAAGGAGGCCTTTTAAATGATATCACTTGTGGCCAACCTGGCACTTCCATGATGTGGGAAACTGACCCTGCCTTTTGCACACTCAGTACATCTCAGGTATCCACAAGCCCCCCGGATACAAGCACAGATGGAAGTGACAACCTTTCTAACTTAATGGACCACTATCTATTCAACACTACATACTATTTCGAAATTCCAGGTTAACTACTCACATAGTATCTCAACTCCAAATGGGGAGTGTGCGTGCTACATGTGCACCTGTGTTTGAGAACCTGCATGTGTACATAATCCCATTTTACACGTGTGGTTATTTTGCAATGTTTTGACAGGTCTTTGCTCTTACATCACTCCTAAAGCAGAAAAGGGGGAAAAACCAAGACAAAAGCAATCAGTTCTCAGTCCTCTTAGCAATGACATTCTGTTGACAGCACTGAGTTTGATGGGACTTTATCAGAAGCTCAAATGCTTTGCAGGAGATAGAAGAATGTAAGCATGTACTTAAGGCATATTCACAGAATCATAGAATGGTTTGGGTTGGAAAGGACCTTTAAAGATCATCTAGTCCAACCCCTAACATGTCTCAAGGGTATACTGAAGAGGAGAATTACAAAGAACTGCCCAAGAAAGTGCTACTCGATAGATAACTAGGAAAATGATTCACTGCTTACACAGAAAATTCTCCCTGGGGCTACATTTCTGGTTTTATTAGGTGGGAAGACCAGATGAAAGAATAGAAAATGTTGCAGTGACAATCGCTAAGCCCACTGCAGAAAACACACACCCCCTGTGGCTGGATGCAGCATGGTTTTTATGGACAGGCGATCTCTTCAGCTGTGTCTACATGTAGATGGTTGGGATAATTAAGGGGAATTAACTATAGGCATGAAATTGAAGCTCAAAAAACTCTTCGTGTTCTTACTCAGAAATAATGCAGTATTAAGTCTAGTGCAGAGGGCTGTGAACTGACTATGTTCCACTCCAGTGAGATGTGAACCAGCAGTGGCCCAAAAATCCAGTTAGAGATTAATTGTTTCTGCAGCATCTGAACTGGCTTCTCTTCATTCCTTCCCAAGCCACAACTGCAGTTTTAAATTCTCAGTTGATGAAGCAGATACAAATTACCCTGTCATTCTTCACAGGCTAGGAGGTTGAGTTTTGGGGTTTTTTGTTGTTTTTTTTTTACTTTTTTTTCTTTCTTTTTTTCTTTTGGAGAGGAGAGAGAGGAGAGAAAACAACCTGGCTTAGTCATTTCTGAAATGACTGTGTACTGTATTCATATATGCTGTGAGAAATTCAATAGTGATCTAGAGATGGGGACAGAAAAACGCAGACCGGCAGCTCACATCCTTGAGAGAGCAAGTCTTCAGATCAAAAAGGTTTATTGTCAAGGTGACTTGGGCTAAAAGACCCGTGATGCCTACTATGTTTGAGAGGCAGAAGCACAGTACTGGCTGTAGGATGTGGGCTGGCAAAATTTGGAGAATTTTAATATTTAAGTGCACTAAAACTCAGTTAAGCCATCTCAAAGTTAAGCCACACCTTGCAGGTGACAAACACTGAATTTCTGAGACTCCAGCATTCTCAAAGCCTGTGACTGTAAAACACTGCTGTTCTTTTGTTGTATGGATTTGGTTTCAGCAGTCACTTAAAAATGCATCTCAAACTGCCAGTGCCCCTAACATTCTCATTTACTTCTCAGTGTTTCTCTAAAACCCTTTCAGATGCTTCTTCTGAAAAATGAAGGAAAACATGTTGAACTGATCCTTGCTGCAATCTCAGTAACGTCCAGAGAGCTTACTCACAACTGAGTGTGTCACAGTGTTCACTGAGGGCTTCTTCTGTTCAGTGGGAACTGTGATGCTGTATCTGCACAGTAGCATATTCTCCAGCTTGTCCCATAGACTCACCATTCCCTTATGTCTAGGGACATGGAGCAGGTGCTGATCCCCTGTATCTGTCTCTTATATACTGAATTTTCAACTCAGATTTTATCAAAGGAACCACAGTGATCTGTTGCAACAGGACTTCCTAAACCAGCAAAGAAGAGGCAGGATTTGGGCTGTCCTGCACATTTCATGGTGAAATGCCATTTGGGGATATAGAGAGCTCAACACAGTCGTACTGAATCTCACAACTACACGGGACTGTTTCCCCTTCCTGACTTCCAGATTTTAACACCAATGTCTCATATAACAGAAAATACAAAGGTTCTGATGTCTCCAGTGCCAAAAGTTTCTGCATTAAAAATGAAACCTTGATATTCTTTGACAGACACAGAACCTAAATGACCCTCTCCCATATCAGGAGACAGGCTCATTAGTGCAGTATACATTGGCAGTTAAGCACCAAGGAAGAGAAAAAGCTGACCTTGCAGCCGCAATGAATTAATTCAATTACTTTGGTGCTCATGTCCTCCTCTGTATAGGACTTGCCCAGAAGCAGTTAAGGTATATACAGGCAGTTTTTTTAAGCTGCAGCATATTGGAAGAAGACTGAAAGCAATAAGGAGTTCAATGCAGCTCAGAAACTGTCTTGCATGATTACTCTGTCTTCAAAAACCAAGTCAGGCACAAAGGGAAATAAAAATAACCAAGGCTGGAGCTTTGACACTTCAAAAGAGGGGAAAAAAAAAAAAAGAAAGCCTGTGCCCTCTATTCCAAGCACAAGTGAAAAACTACATTAACTAAAAAGAGTGCTTGGCCCCATGCACTGTGCCATATTGACAACAGCAACTGCAATTTAATCAAAAAGCCTCTATTGGCAGAGCATGGCACCTTGATGGTACCTTTTAATTCATAAACATTCCTCCCTAAGAGGGATGAATTTGTGTGTTAGCTTGCAGAGAACCATCTTCCCTGCTGATGTAAAATCCTACGACTCCACTGCAGTCTGATGAGCTGTACTAGTAATTACTAGCAGGGAGTCTGTCCCGAAATCTCTGGGTGCGAACCAGGGCACACTTAAATAAGCATTTTCTCACTCTGTCACGCCCACCCCCATCCACCCATCTCCTGGACTGAATTACAAGAAAACTGACTCTTCTCCACCATTCCCATTACTTAAGTGATCTTAAATTATTCAAAGGACTGGTTAAGCTCCAGCCTTATTAATTCAAGCAGAAAGTGTGGAAGAGGGAAGACTGACAACACACAGCAATTCACTTCCTATATTCTAGCAAATATATACAAGGAGTCCATTTTCCAGAAATTCAACTGGTATGTACTGTAAGTGAGCAGAGTGCCCACATTTGCAGATTGTATCACATGAAGAAGATGCCATTTCAAAAGAGTGCCAATTAAGAAACAGTTGCATGAAAGACCTAATGTGACCATGTAGATAAGTTACAAAGGGCTTCTCCTTCACTACAGAGCATCTATCTTCCTCTCCATATATATACACATATATACACATACATACACGTACACACATAGATAGATGGATAGTTATAAATACATGTGCGCACACACGCAAACACACATACATATATATATATTTTTATATATATATATATTCTTTTCCAGTTCTTGGAGTGGTTACAACTACTTTAGTCTACAAGGCATCCTAAGGGCACTTCCTGGCTCTAGCAATAAAGTCCATCATATTGTGGAGAGAAGTAAAGGGAATATCATTGAGGGAGAAGAACAGAACAGTTTCCTATCTTGTATAATATCATGTAACAGGTCGACACCTCTGAAAACTATCATTGTTGTTTCTGAGCCCAGATATTTTCTCCCTATGTTCCAGGAGGGCAAATGTTCATCTTGTTCAATTGCTGTGTACAGAGGTGCCATTATGTGATTTTCCCTTTTTGGTGGATAAGTAGTTGCTTCCAAATAGTTTGGACTGTATAATACAATATCATTTTTTGTTGGTTTGTTTAAAGGGAGATTAAAAGAGTTTTGCTTTTTTCTTCATGTCGTTGCGTCTCCAGAGAGGTAACTTGTCGAACTCCTGTATCGTCATGCCAAATATTTCTTGAAAAACTTCAGGTGCTAAGTGACGCTTTAAAACACCCACAAAAAAAAAAGGGGGGAAGGGGGAAAAAAAAAAAAAGGAGAAAAGGCAATGGTCAGTCAAAGCTAAAGACACACAACAGGAGATAGGAGTGCCTTAGGGATTTAATGTCACTATCACTGTGTAAGAGCCATTGCAGGAAATAATGCTGCTTTGGCAATACCCATATCCAAGTCCTCGTGAACTCTTGTGCTCAACGAATCAATAAAATTTTGCAATTTGTTAAGTCTGAGAAGTTTGCAAAGGAAATCAGAAGAACTATTTCAGTTGCTGAATAAGCAAGAGACAGAAAAATGATTTGTCTGAAGTCACCCAACAAGCAGTGATAGACCAGAGAACAAAACCAGCTCCTGCATGCCCCTGTCCCAGGCTTTAGGCTAGTCACTTCTGCTTACATCTGGAAGTTCAAACAGACACTGGGTTTCAGGAGAGCTTTGCAGAGGGGCTGCAGGTTGACATGCTACATTTAAAGTTTTGAAAAGGAAGATGTCTGGCCAGACTAACTGTCCAGCACACTTCTCTACTGCCAATGAAACATTTTTTGGTGCTGTCTTGTGCACAAGTTACTTCTTGTTCAGCCACTTTACAGTGCACTGGATGGGGAAAGAGTCTCCCTGTGGCACTAATGTAACACACCGTCGAATTCTGATTAGTGATCACGTATCTACTAGTGCATAAAATGTGCATAAATGGTTACTTACCCAAATTTTTGTGGCCCCTTCCACTCACCTCCACAGAAGATTAACTAACTACAAATGACTTAAACATCCCCAGATTTCCACTGGGCTGCTTAAGTTTTTCTGATCCACAAAGTTGTAAACAATTTTTATCTGTTGGCAGAGATTTAAATCCTCAGTTTTTTGGATATCAGCCAGTCTAACTAACTCACAGGACTCATGGATGAGCTAAAGAAAGTTAGACTTTTGATCCTCCAGGATGGCTGACACTGACTCTTAGCTAAGAGATGATCCAAGATCAAAGAAAGTATTGCTCCATTCCAACATGGATCCTATGACTACAAAGCACTTCCCCAATTTTGGGCTTTTTAACAAATTTACAAGTATATAATTAATTGCTTGAAAACATAAGGGGGTTGTGAGAAGCTCAGTCCATAAGCAGGGAGACAGAGATGTCGGACTCCTGGCCCAGCACTGTTTGTGGAGATGCGGCTGCTTCCTCCCCCGTCTGACTCCTCTTTCCCTGCTTAGTGCTGAGAAATCTTCCCAGTCTAACAACGACCCACACTTCAGTGTTTGAGCTTTCAAGTGTGCAACAACAAACAACTTCAGCAGGAACGAGCATTTAGGAACTTGCTTCTCTTACCTCAAGCCTGGTTCTGTCTACATCTTTTAGTATTTTATTTCGCCCTCTGTTGGTCACCATGAGCATTTCATATGGAAAAATCTGTTAACAATGTATAAAAGGGGAAGAAAGAGATGTATTTATATTCTAAAGCAGAAAGAACAAAATGTCTCTCATTTTCATAACCACACAAACATTGTTTTCTTTTTCAAAGGAAATCACAGCTTTTTTTTCTTTTCTTTTTTTTCCTAAAGTTGCACAAAAGACAAGCCAATCTGGACATAGCTAGAACTTGTTCAGTATCAAACTGTCTCATATTGTAGAGCCACTATGTACTTGTCCGTTCTGCTGATTTTTATCGTGTATATACTACATCAGCTGGCTTTGGTCAGACAGAGTCCTCTCTAGTCAATATACCTTCTCAGCCATCAATGTGTAAGTTTATTAAGGTAAATGTATTTCTCACTTACTGGTCTAACTGATGGTTGCCAAAGTGTGGACAGCTCTAAGGAAACAGACACTTAGTGGACTTTTAAAAGATGAAATAGATGGAAGTACATTAAAAAAGGCAGCAACTCCAAACAAGTAAGATATTAATTCATGTGGGCTATGGCATTCAATAGAAGTCATTGCATGATTTTTTTTTGCCTCTTTGGATAGTTAAAAAATTAAAACAACTGCCCACTGTGCTTGCTGGCTGTGCCATACATACATAGATTAAAGGAGATACTTTTGTAGACATATTTTTCTTATGCACCTTCATCTGCTTCAGAAAAGTATGCCTCTAGCACATTTCCCATTAACGTTCCCCTTGATTTCCCTTCACATTGCAAAGAATGTCCAGAACTTAAACATATCAGTTATTGGCCAATAATCTATTCCTGAAAGCATAAATGATTTTACTTTTGTTTTACGTGTACAGGTTCTTTGTTTGAAGTAAAATGTTTACTGTCAGTGGGTCTCAAATCAGTCTAATCCAACAGAAACAATGCTGCTTAGAAAGGATTTCAGAAAACCATGTGCCTTAAAATCAGTTTCTGTAATCATCCCTGGCAAATAAAATTCTGGTTTAGGATTTTTTCCCTCGGGCAGACACCTCCATAAATGCCTGGAATGACTTAGGAGAGCTCACGTTCTGACAGAGCCCCTCTGTAGCCCTTCTCATTGCATGTCTCTGCCGAGTAGGAAAACAGCATTCCCAGTGAGGTCCTTGTCCAACCCCTACTGAAGTCAATGAAGTTTTTCTGCAGACTTCAGTGGCAATTGGCTCAGCCTTTACTGTTATTTATGGGTCTTGTTTTACTTGCCCACTGGGAACAAGAGTGAGACACCAAAACTCTCCTCGAGAGATAGTTGAGCTATTATCAAATGCTACTAATTCAACTGTTTTAACATCAGATGAAATTGAACCTAATCAACTTTTGTGCAGTACTAGGCAATTAAGCTCATTGCATTGTCAACAATTATCCCAATGAACTTTTCAGAAATATAATAAATAAGATTCAGGCATCAATGAACACACCACTGAGTTTATTGTAAGTAATAATAATTTAAATAACGTGTGCTTACAAACCAATTGTAAGATAAGATTCTTAGGAGATTCTGACATTGCCACAATTGTACAATTAAGCCTATACTTTGAATTACATTGTTTATGTTTGATACTGGAAATGGCTACCATATACAGCATTATAGGAAACTAAAATGTAACTTTTCATATTTAAACAGGCAGAATTTAAGTCAAAATCTACGGTCATAAGTACATTTTATATTTAGATATTCACAACAAGGCATGTCTCAATCTGGGGTGGCAGGATGCACAAATTCTGTCCTTTCTGGAGAACTGTTTGGTAAGATTTGGTCATTCTTGAGTTTACTGATTTTCACGTGTTTCATGCTGACTTTGAGTTGGCTTCTTTTACTTTATCAGGTTTAAGTTGGTGTTGGACCATTGACATGAATAAAAATACTGCCAATTCACACATGCTGAAGGTCTGGCATCACCCTTATAAACATCAACTGAAAGTGACCTATTGTCTCAGGAAAATTCCCATAAATTTTATCACTAATAATACTGACAGAATTTGTCACCCAAAATAACACTCCAAATCACCAGGTGCAGCAGCAGCAGTAGTGGCTTTAAGAATTTCTATTGCACTGAAAAAGAAATTATTTGGAATAAAAAGTAGTATCTCAGGAGTTGAGGATGTCCCCAAGGTCTTATTTATATAATATATAAAAACACTTGTTAATATATATTGTACTGGGGTCTCAGCTCATAAAGCTAGGGTTATTGCTTTGTACAGTTTGTCTGGAGGTGACTCGGAAGCACAAGTAGTAATCTGGTTTGCAAAACGAGCTCCTCAACTGCAGAAATGCTGATCTTTGTAACTTTAGCAAAATCATGATTTCTCGGAAGGTTCACCAGCAATAGAGAAAGTTATTGGATTTAAAACACAGACCTGGTTGAATCCCCTCTATATACTATGTTCATTTTTGACTCAGACATCTTGAGACATAGCTGCAAACCCATTTTAATTTATATCTTAAATTATATTCAGCTGACATTGCCTCTATTTCCAATAAATCTCCTGAGGAATTTCTTATATAGGGAATTCAACATTATTGAAAGGTGTCAGGCTAACAGCGCTGAGAGCTATAGAACAGATCCAGACAGACATGTAGGTATCTAACTTCCAATTTGTAACAAAGATCCATGTACTTCATTAATTTTTAAATTAAGACAGCCTCAACAGCATGTTGTGAGCCACAACATCCTGCATCACTTTTCCAGCCTGACAGATCTGAGACCTTCCCATCAAGTTTGGCCTCCTGTTTTGGCTAGTGAAAGCCTGACAGAGAACTAGCTATTGAGCATCTTCAGTATTTTCATTTTGTCTCTAGAAAAGCCTCCTTAACCCAAGAAGCACACCTGGGCTGCCCTCAGCCTGCCTGAGTACTGACATCTGTAACAGGCAAAGTCCAGAACAAAAGGAGAGGTTTGGCACAGAAGGAGCAGGGACTGAGGTGAGGTAAAGAAAAACAGGGGAACTAAGATATTTCCCATATTTTATCTGCATTTCACAGTCAAATCTTCACTGTCTTGAAGGAAAGTGAATAACATCTGCACTTGCCTTTGGCTCCAACATGTTAGGCATAGATACTCCTCTGTCCATTCTCATTCCAGGGACATGACCATCCGGAAGGGACTGCATCAGATACAGGTACACATCAGACACACAGGTTACACACACAGAGGGTAAAGGCACTCAAGTAGCGGTGAAAACAAAGGTGACTTCACTCTAAGACTTCCTTCAAGTCTTAATATTTAGTCTTATCATATAGATCATTGCCATGGCTACCGTTTACTACTTCTGTGAGGCATGCGGAGGGATCCTTCGATCCTCTCTGCCACCACAGCCTTCTGTCACTGCTAAGGCTAGCGACAGCTCCCCACTGAGCCTACCAACATCACCTCCCAGGCAGACCTCTGGACCCCAAGAGAGCGGTGGGCCCTTTCCCACCCCAGTGACTAAGTAGGGTTCTTCTCTGGACAAATACTCAGAAGTATTAATTCAGATCCCACCCAAAAACATACAAAGCACTCTTAACACCTCTGGGCTTTCCTTCCTGTCACTTACTGTATCAGCTGAGATACTTTTTTTTTGTCTCTATAACGGGACATTTTTACTACAACCACAAACAGGCATAGGGTAAAAAGGTGCTGTTTTCACACAGGTACTGTTCCTAATGACAGAACATTTTGAGCGCAATACATGGACAACTCCTCTCTCCTCCCATAATGTTATTCTCTTTCCAATCATCATGATTTTGATACACCATTAACAAAATTACCCAAGCAATTAAACCCTTTCTTAAATTGCCATTTTATATTGTGATTGTGCTAAGGAGCCATCCAGACTCAAATCATTCTGGAAAAAGCCCTGCAGACAGGATTTGGAATAAAAGGGTTTATATTTGAAAGCACACCTCTTACTGGCTCATCTGTAATGGCAGCACTGTAGAAAACTATTGATCAGCCATCTTGTCTGGAGGGCAAATTTCAGAGTAAAAATGAGGAGTTTAAGGCTCCTGGTATGGAAGAAAATTGCCTCCAGAAGAGACTTTATGTCTCTGGGGTCGGTATGAGAGGCTGGAAATAAACCCACCCTCAGCTGTCCAGAGAGGACTATTACAGATAACTCATGTATTAACAGACAGTGGATTTTACAGAGCAAGTCACAGAACTGGTGTGAACTGTCTCAACCCAGCTCTGGGGACGTAACAAAGAAGAATCTGAGGCTGTGCCTGTTTTTTTGTTGATAAGAATCTACATTGGTGGTTACGCTTAAACATGCAGGAAAATCAAAGCTATTGTCTTAAGAAACCCTTCCCTGCAGCAGAAATTCAGACTTCGACAAGAAAAGTAGATGCTTTTAGTTCTGTTGTCAGTTGATTGATGAAAATCTGTACTCTACCTGGAAATCTGAAAAGCAAAAGAGAAATCTCATCAGTTTTAGAGTGTGGAAGAACAGGAATCTGTCACAATCTACCAGATAATCCTTGTGTCTTCTGGTTCACCTGATCTTTTGAAAATCCCACCCAATTCTCTAAGGCCAGCAACCTTCCTACTTTTGGACTTTGTAAAGAGTCAAACACTCCAAATATTGCAGCCCTTTTCATTTCGAGCAGGCTTCTCATTCAGGAAAATCAAGTCACTTTTGAAATATTAAGAAAAACAAAACCATAATCAAGTGATTAAATAGTCAACTAAATTTCAAATGTGTAGAGCAGGGTTCACCTCACCTAACCTCTCCATCAGGTAGCTGTCTAGATTCCTCCACAGCCTATAGAGAGACGCAAGCAGCAACAGAAGATGCCTGATCATAGGGTATCTAAGATGATCGGGATCAATCTCACTTTGGTGATAACTAGCCTCCCTCTCTCTCAGCTCAAACCATTTCAAAACATTAACTCTCAAAGTTACATCACTTTCATAAATATTAATTGTCAGTTTTTATTAGGCAATGACTGATACCTAGCTCAAAGTCATAATGAAAATCATGAGCAGCAACAGGGGTTGGAAGGCATTATCCTCCTTTCTTCACTGTGGCACATTCTTTCAGACCGTGCAGTGGATGGTAATTTTCAGAGAAAGAAAACACCACAACAGAACTCAGTACATATTCCTGATAATATACATGTTACCTGCTTTCCATGTGCACCAATGCTAAAGCACTCCCTTGGCATAAACAAGGATCAGCTCCACATAGCAGATTTATCAAAATAAACCCAAACTTTTTAACAGGTATTTGCAGAGTTTGAGTTAATTGTTGAGTTTACCAGAGGAAGCTACAATGTACTGAGAAAATGCAAAGTAACCACATCCACAACCTTAAAATAAACCAGCAGAAATAATCAAACATGTTCAGCAATGAAGTGGCATCTAAAAAGGCTCCTCTTTTAGGTAAAGTTAGCCTTACCTCTAACACCACCACTCACATCCCCATAGCTGTTGTACTGACCAAAATCTGTAGACACCGGCTGTAACAGGAAAAGAGGGACATGCACATAAATTCACATTTCATGACTTCACAAGCAGGTTGGTATATGGGGAGAAATAAATTCCTTTAAGCCTTTTATTTCCCCCTCAATTTTCACAATGTTTCTTGCATTGCTTTCTTGCCTTTTTAACAATATAGTTTGTGGGAAGGGAAATTAAGTTTTGTCTGACTTCAGATGGTCTTATAAAAAACCTTGATCAAACTGAAAATCCAATACAGTTAATATGGAAATAAATACCATGGATAATTAAATCCACTTTTGCTTCTCAAAATCACCATCTCCTTACCCTGTGAAGTCCATTTTTTCCATAGCCAGGGAGAGAAGAGGTTTTGGAGGCTGAAGCATGTGCTGTTGAATGAGGAAGGGAAAAATCTTTTACTGGAGACATCCCATGAAAACTCAAAAACAATAACATTTGAGGAATCAACTGGCATAAAAAAACCACAATTAAAAGAACTAAGCATATACATAACCAACTAAGACACACTGACTTTAAGAAACTAACATCTCAGCCCCAAACACATCACAACCTTCCACACATTCTGAAAGTTACATGCAGCTTTATCATGCCATGGTGGTAGGTCATCAAGAAAGGACACTGTGATTTTGCCAGGCTCAAAATCAAAGTGGTCTCCACTGAGTTGAAAGTAACACTCGAGGATCAGAAAAAAGAGCAAAATAACTTTTTAGTCCTTAGCTAGATAAAGTATTGCTGTGCATCTTATAAAGGGACCAAGGTAAAGGACAAGGAGAATCTAAGATCAGCAGTATTTGACTGGATAGGTTCCCTGTTAAGTCTCCCATGCAGGTCCATTCAATTCCACTCCCATAAGTGGCACACGTGGTTTATGTATCATTATACCCTCTGAACCTTTCATGAATTTCCTTTCTATTCTTTCTACTGCAACTATTATTGGACTCATGCTCCCAGCTTCTGCTACGGCACAAGCCAAGATACATATGACTAGCGTACTACATCCTCTCTGTATTCAGATGTTTCAGTTTGCTATTTTTTTCTACAAAGGAGAAAAGGCTATTAGTTTTAGTCCTGTAACACTGTAATTGACAGATGTTTTGGTACTGACTTCAACAGGAGAATGATCAGAATGGGCAGTGCTGAGTGAATTCAAACAAGTTTGAGAATTTGGCATTCTGATCCAAAATTATAGTTATCCTGCACATGTGACACTTCTGAGAACATGACATGATTCAACAGAGCTCTGTGACCCCTGCTTTCATCTGAAATGAAAATGAAATAAGGTATGTAGGGGCATTCAACTTAGTATTTGCACCGACCTCAGACATTGCATAAGCAAGACAAAGACAACATGGGAATGTCAAGGGTGTGTTTCAAATACAGATAAAAAGATGTATAAATAGAAGGATTGTCAGCATAATGATCAATAGCACCTCTAGAGTTAATACAGCTCCTTCTGACAAGATCCTCCATATAGGAATGCAATTTTTGGTTTTTTAAATGTTATTTTTATGACAGAAGGGCATGGAATGTAGAACTTGAGGCACTGATGTTGCCAGCAATAAGCAGCTTTGGGAAAGGTACCACTGATTCCACAAAAGGCAACTGATGACTGCACTGATTACAACTGCAAAGAGGGATGGACACATCTCCAATAAAGGAGTTCTCCAACCTGCGCTAACGTTAATAAAAAAGTCATAAGCTCTGAGTTGAGCAGGTAGACTCCAGCCCTGTAAGAATTACAGATAGTTAGGGAGAGCCACAGACATCCTCTCCAAGACCATAAATAGAGGCAACACACTTATGCAACAGGGAACACAAGGAAATCTTAGTTTGCTTGGCAGCTACTCCAGTGGATGACTCCAAAGAGACTCATCTTGTCCCTTCTTGGCTCAAAGTACAGTTGCTGTGCTAAAATGGCAGGGGGATGAAGACAGTGAAATAAAACCCTCAAACCATTCTCTGGAGATCTGAGAAGGCCACAGATGTATATCAAAATCTGCAATGAGGCCAAGAATCTGAGCCACCAATTAACCAAAGTTGACTTTTGTGCTTTTGCTCTGGAACAGAATACACCCAATCAGAATGTCAGCCAAGGTCAAAACACTAGCTGTGTTCAGAATATGCAGCCCCATTGGTAAATGTTGCTGATTTTCTGTCCCTGGGAGGAGAGATTAAACAGTGATAGGAACCACCAGTTTAAGCAAAACGTGTTATTGTAATTTAATAACCCAGCCTATTAGCATATGTGTGATGTGATAGTCACTGAATATTTTACTTCACTGCTTATCTATATTAGAAAATCTCTCTCCTCAAAATTGCCTGAAAATTCTCAACCTCATATTTCTTCTAACTAAAAAACAACCACAACACTCCTCCTGTCACCAAAACCAGCTAATAAATTAGGCCACTCTTTGAGGGGAGAATACCACACATACACATACGAAGCAGTCTTCCCAGTGGTCTCTTCTGGGAGACCGCTTGATATGTGTATATGTGGTGTTCATTATCCACTGTTCATTATTAGCTTTATTGCCTACATGTATTACCTGGAGAATCGTAACGACTGGCAGAAAGGGCTGACCTATCGCGACTCTCCTTTTCCATCTCTTCTTTCAATATCAGTTGTCCGAGACCAGAGTTGAGCTATTAAATGGCAATTAAAAAAAAAATCAATAAAATAAAGCTGATCAGGGCATTAGTAGAAATTGCTTGCAGAAAACAAAGGGGCACTTTCTGGGTGGTGTTCAGAAATGGCATGAAGACAAGCTTATAACCACCTTCATGAGCTGCTCCTCCTGCAGCTGCCGGCGTCTCTGTAGCTCCTCATCATCTTCCTCTCTTCCACTTGATCTGCGTCTCATGTCAGCTCCTGCTTCCATAAAATCACAGTACAGAGAGAGCTTTGTGTATCAGTTCAACTGCAGCTTGAAGATTTCAATGCTAGTTCAAAGTACTGGTCAGTTTGATTTACTGTATAAACAAAGCAGTATTCTCTTACAGACTCAAAAGACTTTTTCAAAACTCACTCTTAATAAAACTCACTCAAATAGCCTGCCCTATGGCTATCAGGCTTCTTATAACATTAAGAAGTTAAACCGCACATGAGTTCCAAACCAAGAAACAGTCCTGGACACAAAAGACATGAATCAATGTAATAGAAAAAAGGAGCTCAGATTGCTAGTTCTGGAACCATGGGGTTTAATTGCACCAGTAACTGTATCAGTGGCTGGAAACATAAAGTCTGATTTACATTTGTACTTCTATCTAGACTCAGAAAAGTAAATCTGAATTAATATTTCAAATGGAAAATTAAACTACATTAATCTCCTAAATGGGCACTCATATTTGGAATAAACAAGGCCTTATTTTTAGTCTAAAATGAAGCAAACTGATTTGATCCATTGGATAAAGTTGAGTTAATTAAGACACAGGTGTTCTACATTTTAGTTCCTTACTTTTTATTCAATAATCTTTATTTTCTTGAATTTTCTTAAGAAATAGTCCAATTTGGACACCAGGACACTCCCATGAGTGCACAGAATATGATATTGCTGCAAGCATTTAGACAGCAGTTGTATTTTTTTTCCACACAGGCTATATCCTGATATATTCACCAACCCTATGCTAGACAAACTGAGTGTTTTATTTGAATGAAAACTAAATTGTGCAACTAAAGTATCAGAAAGGTTTATATCAATTAAATGTTTTGTACAGCAGTTAAATTGATGCTAATATGGAGAGAGACAAAAGGTTATGGAGAAATTATTTGTTTGTATTTAAATTTTTTTTTTTGGTGTCTCAGGCTTTTGCAAGACTTTTCAATACAGTGGCAGTAATACTCTTTTTTTTTTTTTTTGACAGTTGAGCTCATTCTAGCTCTGTAAGCAAAATATCACACTCAGAAAATCAGACAAGAAGCTGAAAAACCTGGGGCTTGTGGGTTTGTTTTTTAGAGATCAATCTTGTGTGATACCGTCTTATTTCTGAATAAAATACTTCCATGAGCACATTTTTATCTTTATAGTGTCCAACCAGTCCTGTTTAGTTTCTCTAACAAAATCACCTGATAGCCAATATACAAAGTACTTTTACTGGAAACAATTAAAAGTTGTCATCCACTGCCTAGAGACTGAGCTGAGAGCCAAAATTTCCAACAAAGGCTCTACCTCAGACATACAACATAATAATGCTGTAGTTAACACAAGCATTGTCAGGAGACTTTCAAGTATGTAGATGTTATCACCATGACTGTAATGTTTGTCAGGTTGCAATCCTATATAAAGGACATCTTAAAAAAATTGCCGCTGCATAAGCAGCCCCTTCAATTGGTCATTGAGCTCTCCCACCCTCTGTCTCCTCTCTTAGCACTTCTACAAAAATCCCATTGCGATGAAAACCATACACTCCTTCAGAGAAACCTGAAACAGGCAACACGTTCAGTGTTTCAGACATGACTTCATAAAGGAACTAGGTTAGATAGCTTATTTTATGCTATAGGGGTCAATAAAAATTAACAGAGAGAAAAAAGTACAAAACCAAAAAAAATTTTAAAATGATGATGCACATGATTTAAAGAAAAGAAAATAAGATACCTGTAGTGCTACAACACAGAAGAAAAATACAGTCTGTAGAAACAGTAACTCTGAAAATCAGGACTTTTTTAGTCCATTAATTTTTCCACTTCAGTCATTGCTTCTTGTTGGAAGCAATCATATTTTCTGTGGAATATTTGCTATTAGTTTAGGACTAAAAGATTAAATAGACAATGACTGAAAGAAGTCAGGCTTGTGTGACACACCACGTTTTTTAAGCTACTGCATGGCAGTTCACATAATTTGTCTATAGGTTAGTATCAGTGTGATCAGCCCTTTAGCAAAACCTCTTCTACTCAGCGCTATTCAAGAGTTTTAAATTCACAGACACTCAGAGGTCTCACCAGAAGAACTGCACTTTGTGGTAAACACCTGGAGTGGACACAATCTTCACTACTCATTTTTACAGCTCCAGTATTAATCTACTTTGGTTACCAGTACCTTTTAAGCCGCATCGCTTGTATCATTTTTTTTTGCATACCTATGGCCGCAAGGGAGGGAGGACCTGGCCAGTGGTCCGTCTCAATCTTTGGTATCTCGTTGGGTGCGGGTGCATGAGCTGCTGGGAACTTGGAGGACTTGATGATATCCTCGGAGGACTTGCTCTGTGCTGCCAAAGCAGCTGCATCTAGATGGCAATCAGGGAACTTAGCTATGTAATAATCTGTACCAATATAAAGGTTGTCCTTATTTTGGCAAAATTTTATACTTTACAAGAAGTTAATTTTCAAAAGCAAACATTTTCATGTTTTGCTTTTCTAATTGCAATTTGAAGGAAAGTAATGTCTTTCTCTTGCCAATAGATTGGAATCAAACCCTCCTATCTTCCCCCATCCCCACCCCCAAAATAACCTCAAATCAGCTTTGGATTTTACTAGGGTTGCACAGTGTTAGAATGATTAGGCAAGAGTGAGAAAATTCAGTCTAACAGTATTTGCCAATATCTCCTAAGGACAGCTGATTATTAATGAAGATGAAACCAGATATATGTACTGATCTGCCTTCCCTCTAGGGCAAGAAAACAAATGCGTCAAAGGAACAGCACTAATTTTAGCTCTACTGATGCTAATTATTTCCTATGTTTCTGTGAAAAGCTGCAAAACAAACAAAAAAATAAATCTGAAACAAATATATTTATTTAACCAGTGGATTTTTTCTGCTGCATGCCCTTGCTTATTAGCATGCAGTAGTAGTAAAAGCAGATGTGAATTTATTAATAAATACTAAACTCCATTCAGATCAACTTGGCAGGGAAAGGCACTTGCAATGAAATGAACCTCACCAATAAAATATCTCATCAGTGGGGCATCCACTTAAGATTCCAGTCTAAGCCAAAGTCTCTTAAAAGCATGTGAGGATGTGCATTATGGCTTTCACTTCTTGACATATAAAAAAATAAATTCCAACAGGATTCAATTTACATTAAAACCAGCCTTAACTACATCTTATCTGCAAACTGCTAGCTCAGATCACCTTCTCTTATATGAAGCTATTGGATCAGAAGGAAGGATTCTGGACTTTTTTTCCCCTTTTCTCTTTTTTTTTAAACAGAAAGACTTCTGTTAACAAAGTGAAGCACTGTGTTGCTCATCCAACATGTTCAGGGTAGTTTAGGAACATCAGTATTAGGTATCATTGGGAATTCTGAGCATTTTATGACTGGGAAACTCTAAGCATAATTGCAAGTACGGAGGAAGCTGGTCAGAGTTTACAAAAGCATGACTTCAAACAGTACTTACGTATTAGAATTGGTGATGTCAGTGGTTAAACATTCACATGTTAATGGGAGGTGAGGAGATACATTAAAACCATAAAAATAAACAAAAATAATGTTAAGACTTTTCCCAAAATTAGCATATGGTTTGAAACTTATTAAAAAAAAAGGAAAAAACCCTGACAAAATACCACAGCAGTGTTATTTGCAATGCTTGTTCCTGACTAGAGAATGGACTTCCTGGGCTTTCCTAATCATCTCAGCTCAGTGGCTCTCAGCCAACCCTTCATCTAAACCCTGTAGTACTGCTAATTTGCAACTTAACCCTAAATACATTTCACTGGATAAAGGGTCTGCAAAGGGATGCAAACTCAGTCTTTAAAAAGCAGTCATCCTTCTTTCACCCCACTACATAAAAATCATCTCCTATTCAAAGTTTTCTGTTCACAGCAGAAGGGAAGAATGAACACACTCCGTTATAAGGGGGACCTTGCTCTGCAGTACTGAAGACTGGCAAGGCAGTGGGCTTCTGCCATCATCGTCATTTCAGACTTGCTATAATGACGTCTACACCGAAAAGATTAAAGCACTAACACTACTGTCCAACTCAGAATCCTAACACCTGGAAAAACAAGTACAGCGTACTACCTGAGCTGTATCACAGGGCTTGACAATCAAAATAGCCCTGCCAGTGGTAAGTCACCTGTATTATCTTCAACAATTAAAGATTCTTATTTAAAGCCACAGGTACATTGGGAATTCCAGTCTGATAATAACATCTCCATCTTTGCTGTTAAAATAAATTATTATACTTTGTCTGTTTAAAATAAGGATATTCCATGAAGTCCCTGTCAGAGAACAGTCTGTTGTTAATCCATTTTAACATTGATCATGATCAATACCTGTATTCTGAAAACATAAACTTAAAGAAGTGAAATACAGGAAGGCATCATAATGCTAAAGAGACAGGAAAATCCCAGTTAATGGCAATTTTGCCATTAATATCAACATGGCCAAGATTTAAACCATATGATCCAAATGAAACAACATGCTTTAAAACATAAACACTCAGCAGGACATGCAATAACAGCTGTTTCAAGCTTGGACTACTAATTTTTTATGCTTACAAAGTAAAAACTGAATGCTTTTCACTAGTCTGCATGCCTTTTAATTTAGTTGACACTCCAGTTTTGAAATAAGAAGGGAAAGATCATTTACCGTGTTGTTTGTAGATGGGTGGTTTTCTGTAAATGTTGACACCTTGATCTGTGAAATTGAGAAACAGAAAAATGGGAATATGAAAACTACTTCAGTTGTAGATAAAGATAACTCCAACACTAAAACAACAGACAGACCAAATCAAGGATGTAGCACAAGAAAAAGCCAGAAAGCTATTTCTAGTATTATACAAAATCAGATTGTTTAAAGAAAAGAAAACATAAGAACAAGTGAAAAGTCAAAGACATGTGGTATGAAGTCCTTTGGAGCTGATTCTGTAACATGTGGATGCATCCAAGTCATGAACCATTAATTTTAAACATTCAGAAGATTATCGGTGGGATAAAAGATAGAGAAGAAATGCAAACAAGCAAGACATTTCAATGGTGAAGATACAAGCCATTTGGGGAAAACTACCCCAAATAACTTTTGTGGAAAATTGTGCTTCAGTCATAACAGCTCAATTTTCTTTCCATCTGACTGGCTGGATTGAGCAGAGGAGAATGCAGTGAGCCTACAATTCACTTAAAAATCCAGAGAACAAAATGGCTGCCTAATACACTGGTTTGAACAGTCAACAACAGCTATACTTCAGTGAGTCGAAGGGATGCTTTATGCACTGTTAACTAACAGACTACTAATTCTCAAACCACAAGGATAGATTTTATTTCTTTTTCGTGATTTTTTTTTGTAAGGCCTACCATGTTGCACATTATCAATGTAAATCAGAATAAAAGCACTTCCCAGAACTTTAATGCAGTAAATCTACAACATATCTAAAGATACCATATTTTTACAAATAATAATCTAAGACAGGAACCAGTTTGTTCTAAACTATCCTCCCACCCAGGCCCAACACTTCATGTATTCGGCACAGCCACAAATACAAAAGTTAATCCAAAATCAGTGCTACAGTGCAAAAATCTGTCAAAAACTTATTAGAAGACCAAAATGAGCTGCTGGGAACTAGAAAATTTATGTCAGAAACCCATTTTGCTACTTCATACTGCCTGAAAAAAGTTTTCAGTTATATTAGAATGAAAGATGAAAAAGCATTTTAGAAATACATGCTGTTATCACAGATCCAATTAAAGTGCTACAGGAGACAACTTAGCCTTTGGCATTAAGGAAAGCTAACTTTAAAACTCTATTGAAACAGAGGCAAATCTTACTCTGCAGAACCCTACATCCTTGACTAAACAGGCAAATTCATTGCACACAAAGACACTGAGGTGTCTTGCTAGCGATCTGTTATGGCTACTTGACCAGCAAACAGGTATAAACATTGCAAGGGTAGTCATGCAGTACTTCTGCGCACATCTACACCAGAAAGCTCTAAGGAGGACAGGAACACAGCTCCTTCTGTGGCTGCACTGCGCCAGCTGAAGAGGACAGCTCTCCCACCATGCTAGAGATTATTACTCAGAGCTATTCATGCAAGTAAGTGAGCTTTAGCTTACGCAAGTCAAAGTGAGCCAGGTTAGCTTAAGCAGTTAAAACAGCCTACTTTAGCCAAGCCAGGTCACTCTTATTTAAAGGGAAGTTCCCACAAACAGTTTATCTGCCAGATCTGAGGAAAGGAGGAAGAGCAGTAACCTCTGGCAGTGTGAAGGGATACTAGACTGAAGGGGACCTGAAGAATAACTGGGTACAATAAGCTTTCAGCTAGCACTGATGCAGTTAGAAGATGCATGTCCACAACGCTAGGGACAAACCCTACCCTCATCCCATCAAAATCCAAGACAGATGATCTTCTCAGAGGCTGGAAGAACTGTGCAGCTCACTTCAAAACAAAGCCTGCCCTTTATAGAAAAGGCATCCTAAGGCATACATATCCTTGTGGATCTGCAGGTCTCTCTGAGGACACCAAGCCATTGCACAAAACAAGTAAAGAAACATCCTCATCTGCTTTAAAAAAAAAAGGAAACACTAAACTAGAACTGTTGGGTTCAAGACTGAAAGAAGTTACAACAATCTGAATGAAAAACATATGTAATGGCTCACTGGTCAACTCTTTTCCGCATGTGACTCAAAACCAACTCCTCCAAAGTTAGCAGTTATGCTGGTGCTCAGCTGGTGCAACTGGGAGAAAAATCAAGCCCTGCATAGCTCATATCCAGCTCACAGGCCACCGACAGACCCTGAAAACCAAGGCATTCTAACAGTGAAATACCTGAACAACAGAATAGGTAAAAATCACAATGAACCCCCCCCCCCCCATTTCTTAATGCACTACTCCTCTCAGCAAGCCCAGGAACAGTTCCAAACCCTAAGGGTGCACCCCATGGTAAACAGCGTGAAACAATGGAGACAAGACAGAAGTTACAAAGGCTACATTCTACACTGTGACAGGACACCGAGACACATACAGTGCCAGCTCCTACCTGGAACATGGAAATGTTTAGGGGCCTGAGCGTAAGTTGGAGTGAGAGGGCGGCTGTCGGGCCGATAGGGGACAGGGGAGTTCCGACCGCTGGACGGCTCATTGCCTCCAATGAAAGAATGGAGAAAACAAAATGAGAAGAGGGAGAGCAATAAAAAAAAGCAAGCCCAATCAAACCCAAACAAAACTGGTGGAATCAAAACGTCCAGGGAGAAAAGAAGTTGAACCAAAAATATAAATACAAACAATAACGAGAACTGGTAGCCCTGGTGACTTTTTTCCCCTGATATTCCTGCAGAGACAAAAATTCATGTTCAGGCTGGAGTTGAGGTTTGAGCAGCTCAGACTCATTCTGACGGCATGCAGGCAGGAGCTGTGTGCTCGTAGCTGGTGATTAGATGGGCAGCGTGGAAAAGAAGAATGGAAGGTTACTTGGCAATGATTTAGTACGGAGACTCATATTTGAAGTTAAAAGTTACAGACACAAAGTATAGCAGCTGATACGCAAACCCAAAATGAAACCAACTCCCAAGCAGATAGAAGCAGATGCTGGCAGTTACTACAGTTCCCTAAACCAAAAGCATACAGAAGCTAGAGATGGAAAACAGCTGTTAGGTCACTTGGCCCATATCAAAAGGCAAAACTGTTCCTTACACTCTTTCATTGGTTTAGCTCTCTGGTAGGAAATTTTTGATATGGCAAAATCATTTGCAAAGTAATGCAGCCCATCTGGTGGCTGAGCCCATATCGTTGATGCCACCCCAAATCTCTGTCAATGCCAAATTTGGCTCTGGTGACAATACTTCACCACTGCTGATTTAGCAAATCTGAATCTAATGTCTAAAACTTAAGTTCCATTTTGCGCACACCGTTTGTTCCATTTGTAGGATCGCTCTTACTAGGACTATTTCTTTGCCTCCTAACAATCCACCACAGCAATCCAACAGCCCTGAAAGTTCCCATGTCTGTCAGGGCAAGAGGGTTGCTGCAGAATCATGCTGGTTGATCCCCAAGTATCAAGGCTTAACAGCCAGATATCCAAACACATGACTGTGTGTACCACAAAATAATGTTGCTGCCTTTTACTCTGTCCCATTCTTCACACTAGTGCAAACTCATGCAAGCAAAAACCGTCCACATGGGTGCTTATTTTACATGGGTATGGGTGACCACAATGGTGAGAAGTAGGGGAGCATCAAACCCCTTCCATTTTTCAGGTATGCGCAATGGCTTAAAAAATCCTAGAAAAGCTGATTAACAGAGTAAGGAAAAAAAATGGGGGGACAAGGATGACACAAGTACAGGAGGGCTATAAAACACAACAAAAAAGAAACTGCAGGCCTCCTTTCAGCTGCAGGTTTCCTATGTCCCATTAGAGGACCCAAAGCCTTGGACTCAGCACGCTTCTTATTTATATATTTGGGGCAGAGGGGTGGAGGTAGGCTGAGGGGGAAGGAAAAAGGAAGTTGTCTTTACACAAAAGTTCCTCTTTTACTTGAACGGTCATCTGTCAATCTAAAAGGCACCAAAAGGGAGAAAAAACAAAAAGCTCTGTACAAACCTCACTGAGAGAGATGTGCCACAGAGGCCTCTGCCAGTACACAAGTTAATCCATCTGCATACACATGTTTTAAAAATTACATGCACAGTTCAGGGGGCTTGGCTGTAAAAAATTCGTCCAGAAGAATGCATGTGCAAAATTCATTTACCACTTGGATAGTTCAGCCCTAAATGACATGATGTTCTTTCAGCCACATGAGTTGATGATGTTTTTTTATTTTGGGTACAGCAATGCTGAGCTTCTGGCCAGGTGACAGTAATTGCTAGGTTTACTAACTCTGAAAAGCAGTATGAACAATTATTTAAAACAATATTGTCATTTCTCAATCTATGGTCCTTTACTTGGCAATTCCAATATTGAGTTCTACTTGTCCAGCCTTTGAGATACTGTGATGGTGAAACACCTAACTTGGTTAAGCTGATTTTACTTATGTCTTTTGCTTCTATTTAAGTTACTTTTCAGCAAAATCATTGTTTTATAGGGAAAAAACCATCAATATTGAGATGGCCTCAAGATATAGTTAATTCTAAAATTTATAGCCTTTATAAAGACATGTCATTCTGCCTTTCTGCTTCCATTAGCAATTAGCATATTCAATGAAAGGGAAGAATCAAAAGGGATTTATTGACCTGTGGACTTGTCACAACAGAGGAGTCACAAATACATTTTACCTGTTGGGAACTAGCAGTCAAAATGTGAGTGTGTTCAATTTACAATGCCTCTATCATCACCACTACAAATACAGGGAAGAAATCCTTCCTATAGCCCCCTCTTTATCTCAACTAGACACAACTAAGTATGCTCACACCCATAAATATACGCTTGCTCATCTTGTATCTGTACATAGATATTTTGTTTAGAGAGAACTGGTAATGTTGTACAATGCACACAGTACCAGGCAGGCAATTAGCGTGGTATAATCCCGCACATGTTGCTTTATCAATGTCTCCATTGGCTTGTATTTCCTGGGGTTCCTGTGCAGTCTCTCTCTTCGTAATGACTCCTACTAGTACTGACAAATGACTCTCCTTTACACTTTCTAGGATGGCAGTCTCATTACCTCCAACCACTGTGGGAGGGAATGGTACATCTACTTAGATTCTC